CAAGTTATATTATAAAGTGTTCATTTTCATACCTCCTTGTACTAAATTCAGAACTCCTCGAGGGCAAGGACTATGTCTAGTTATTCCCTGTGGTTCCAGTGCTTAGCTCAGCTCATTGTAGGTGCTCAGGGAAAGTGAGATTGAATCAATCATCACAGCTCGAGGACCCTCTGTCTTACCAGGTACTGTGTTAAGAAATGTAAAGTTAAAAAGATCAGGCCTTTGGCCCCTTAAAGTTCATAAACAAATTGAGGATGTGTTTCTATCGTTCAAATCTACATTATAGAAACCCAACACAAACTAGCTTAAAAGGAGAAAAAGAATGTGGACAGGGGACAGGATTTATTTGTCCTAGGCAGGTTACTTCTATTAATAGTTTCAGGAATAGCTGAATCTAAGATCCAAGGGTTTCCAACAATGTTATCCTCCAGATTAGGTCTCTTTCTATAACCTGGTCTTGGGTGGCTTCATCCTCAGGAATTTTTTTTCCATGTGAAAGCCCCTCACAGCTCCATGTTTACATCCAATTGTCGCAAAAATAGAGCTTTTTATGCCAATGGTTCTAGCAAAAGTCCTAGGAGTAATTCTCAATGCTTTTAATTGAGTCACTTGCCCTTCACTGAACCCATTATAGTAAGGCTGAATAGGCCTACATCACATGCCTACCTCTGGGTTTGGAAGTGGGGTTGACCCCATCCAAATCATATGGAATAAAAGTGAGGGAAGGTTGTTCACCAGAGGAAAATCAAGTTGCTGTTACTAAAAGGGGGAGAAGATACAGGCAAGCAAAAACTAACACATGTCATCCATAGAGGAGATGTCCTATACATCAATAATTATATGGTAAGGCTGGGAGTGAGGCCTGTCTTAAGTGCTTACAGCCAAAGATTAAGTAGGAGAAATGGATCACTCAAGGACAGCTGTCGACAAACACCTTCTAGGAGGAAGCCTATGAACTAGGCCTTTTGGATAGGTAGGATTATGGTAGGTGAAGATGAGGAGGCCTTTCAGATATGTGGAAATTCATGAACAAAGGCAGAGAGGTGAGGCTCCTTCGTAGGTTTTCCAAGTTTGCTGGAAACTTCTGGGAATTAACTCTGGAACTTTGGTTGGGGGCTAGAACTATACATAGTCTAATAAGTGCTAATCCTTTATGCAGATTTCTTCCACATATGATCTCAAAATAGAGTAATTTTGGCAGGCACCAGGAGTAGGATTATTCTTCCCATGTTACCGATGGGACAAGTGAGGCCTAGTGCAAGAGATGCCAGCTGAGAGTTCACCCTCTTGTGTCCAGAGACGGAACAGCACAAGAAGCCCAATTGCTGCCCTCCAGCCCAGTACTGTGTCCCTCCCCCCAGTCCACAGTAAAAATAAAATCTGGGGTTGGAAATCAGCAGGACAGCAGCTGTGGCTCAGCCCCAGGGCCAGCCTGAGGACAGTTTTGGAGGAAGCCGTGGGAACAACCATATAGGCAGAAAGAAGGTATCTGACTTGCATAATGGCTAAGAGCAGAGACTCTGGAGTCAGGCCTGGTTTTGATTCTCAGCTTCATGAGTTAAGGTGTTACCTTGGGCAGATTATATAACTTCTCTGGGCCTTAGATTCCTCATCTGTAAACAAGGTAAAGAACAATACCTGTCTTACAGGATGGTTCATACGGTCTGAATGAGGTATTGCATATTAAGAACTTAGCACTCCCTTCCTTGTCCGGTCTGGTCTCCTCTTCCAGTCTCATCTCCTCTTCTTTGTCCCATCTCCTCTCCTCTTCCGGTCTGGTCTCTTCTTCCTCTTCCAGTCTGGTCTTGTCTCCTCTTCCTCATCCCGTCTGGTCTCTTCCTTCTCTTCTGGTCTGGTCTCCTTGCAAATATTTTTTAATAACAAACTCTTGAGAGTATATCATGAGTTGTGATAGATAAAACAACTTTACACTTTTTTTTAA